AGATAGGTCAGAGCAGTGTCCTTGCTCTGAAATGATTTAACATAATTTGGATAGAACATTTCCAGGAAAAAAAAGGCCAGTAACCAAAGCTGTCATGCAACAGACACTCACATCTATAATGAATGCCATTAAGAGCCATTAAACTTATCAGTGAAATTGGAAACATAAAAAAATATTGATACACCTAGTTCTACAAAATACTTACTCTTTTAGTGCTTGTCCAAAGAATTAAGTTAGGTTAGTGTCTGAACTTGAATGTAAACATCATGCAACCTGAGTTGATGGAATAAGAAGGTTATGTTAACTTAATCATTAAATCCTTCAGGATCTTTCAAATGAAGTAATATATTAAATATTGAGTTGGCATTAGCTCTGCTTCTCACTCAGAGGAGTGAATCCTCTGCAAAAGATGTTTATTATGAAGCTTGCAACATGAAGTATTGCTTTATGAGATCTAGGCAGTCATGAAGAACACAGAAAAGGATCCCAGAAAGTTTTGCTAATGAGTAATAAGTACACAAATACAGGAGACACAATAAGCTGTAAGTAAATGCTACTTCAGATTTATGTTTAGTAAAATTACTGCCGGTTTTAAGCATAATTTAACCAAACCAGATAGGTAATTGATCAGGTACTGTTCTATTGTGTATCTTTCCACTCAGGTGGCTACTCTCTTTTTTAGTGTATTGTGTTGTGTAAGTATTAAGCGCCAGTAGCACATATATCAGCATGCATAGGCCTTGTCAAAATGGGTGATATTTTGCCCTTTTTTAATCAAAGATTTTTAACCATTAGTTTTATTTCAATGTGCAAATAATACCAAAAAGAAAGAATCTACACAGCTGCAATTTGCATCAAAAAAAGCACTTAGGAATTTGTAGTGCATATATATGGGTGATGAGATCTATGAATGCACTTCGTCATGCTTAGATATAAGTCTTTGTTAGCCTAAGGCTTTGGTAGAATTAGAATGAGTTTCAGCACTGTTTATAGGTGTGGTATCATCCTCTTTTTTTTTTTTTTTTTTTTTTTTAATTAATTCCATTTCAGTGAATCTGGCATATGAAAAAATGTAGAAACTATATGTTTAATTAAGAAGTTTTGGGAAAACTTTGTTGCATATTTTAAAAAAAGCAAAACATTTTTCTCTTTGGATTATTTTTGGATATTTTGAATGCCTAAATTAAAGCCTGCATTACATCATAATAATCAGTGTATTGACAATTGTGACAATCAGTGACAGTATGTCTATAAGAAGTGTAGATTTAGATGACTTTTAGAAATTAAAGCTAGTCTGGTACATGAACAAGACAGGAGTTTGTCAAGTTTATAGCTATATGACGGTGTATATTTCAAATGTTAAAGTAAATGTATATTGTTCCTTTTCTGGAAGAAATAGAGGATGTGCACTATGCTATTAAAAAAAGAAAATACACCAACCCTGAATTCCACTTTGCAACATAAGGTGGGAATTATATGTTAGAATTTTGAGGGCAAAGAAAATACTAAATGGCTTCACTAATGGAAGCATGTTGTTGTAAAGAAGTGCAGTAAGAATGAAATTTTGATTCTTAAAAATGTTAGTCCCTTATTTCTTCTGTAAACTGTTGTTTACACACAAGTGCATAGATGGGAACTTCACTGGCATATTTACATGCACAGTCAGACTTCTACTAATCCCTTGTTTAGCAACAGAGGTGCATTGTTTCAGTAAGCACTTATTTTTTCAAATACATTTTGCAGTAGATAACAGTCAATGCTGTTGACTACACATAGTGGTAAGACTCTTTAAATCTCTGGTTCACATCCAAGATTCTTCATGAACATTTCTAAGAGTTTATGAAAGACAGCTGCAGAAGGGGAGCTTGCTCTCTGTTGACTGAAATTTACTATGCAGGATTCAGTGCAGCTTGAGAGGGAGCTACATCTTTGGAATTATAAAAGAACATGAGACAGCTGTGTTTCCTTTATGGAAGATATGGTGTTTTACTTTGAATTTTAGGAAAATATTGTAGATGATGCAGCATAACTATGCTTGGAATAGTAGCTGACTCAGAAGTAGGTTGAGCTGCCAATGTATTACTGTAATGGTGAACAGCTTTATAATTTGCTGAGAAGATAAATTGACATGAGAAAAGGGACAGTTATATCAACAGAATAAATTTTGTCAGTTTACAGATCTACTTTCTGGGAAGAAACCCATAGAAACCATGCACTGTAAAAATTGGATTGTAGGAACTGTGAATTTAATTAGAAGCTGACCTCTAATTAAATTCACAGTTCCTACAATCCATATGTCCATAGATGTAAGGATAGATGTAGTAATAAATACGTGATTTGATAGGTACACTAGTTATTCAGCTATTTTAGAAACAAAATTAGTCTTTTACTGTGAACATATCTAAATGTCTAGGATGATATTTTATGATACCTTGGACAATAAACTTGCAATTTATTTTTCACATGGTTTTGTGATTATTGAAGAGAAACACTCTTATAGGCAGAATATATATAAATCAAAATACATGTTAGGAAATGTGTTTTATGACCTTATTTCAATTGTTTAGTAAGACCTCTTTCAGTAATAAGTTTATTCTAAAATTTGAAAGCAGTGAAAGGTTGTTGCCTCTATCTCCACATTGCCTAACAATTATTTAGAGAGTGAGAATTAAAATAAAAGGACTATTTCCTCCTGTGTCATTAGGTGATATTATTATAGAGAGAAATAGCTGTACCAAAAAAATACCGTAACCTCTATCCGACAAAAAACAAGTCTCAAATTAAAATATACTTCTTACATCTGTAACAATTTGTTGCAACTAGAGCCACTTTATGGCTATTAGAAAATGTGTTTCATTCTAAAATTCACAATGAAAATGCAGAAATATTCAATGTTTCTAATGGAAAGGTATATGTTTCTCCCTCTTATATTTTATGCATATTCTAGTTCTGTCTAGGAGTTCTGACTTTAATTGGTACAGAGCAATGTACATTCACCACATCCTCTTGAAATTTAATAGCACTATTTTTTTGTTTGGTTGAGTTTTTTGCTTAACTTCATCATCTGGATTTCTTGGATCTAGAATTTGAAGTCAATTTCATAAGCTTAAAAAACTTAGATTCTATGTGTCGTTCAACTGAAATGAATTGTGTGAGCTAATGTGTTTCCACAGTATAAAAACATTCTTTTGCAAGTCTGTGAAGGAGTTTTAATAGCCTGTGGTGTCAGTCAAGCCTTTTGTCATTTATATCAGTGCCTGAGGGAACAAGGGTGCTAGTGCAGTTTCAGAAATTTGGAAAGTTGTCTTAAGCATGTTTTGTTTTGAAGTAGAGTGGGTGGGAAAAGATGAAAAGAGCACTACCTCTAAACTGTTATTATTTCAAAAGTCTTCCTCACAGAATAGTACCCCTACAAACCTATTAGGTATTTATTTAAGTAAGTTTTGGGGTTTTATTCCACTTTAAAAAATCCCTTCAGAATTAATTGATTAATTATGAATACAGTTTTTCTCAAAACAAAATAGGAATCCTTGATGTCTGAACATAAAATGGCATACTTGTTGGCTGGTGTTTTATTTTAACTACGGGAAGAGTTCTGTTTATAACTAAATTGAAGGGCATAGGTAAGTATGTTGACATTCTGAAGATGTGACTGATCTGTCTGGTTTTGGTGAGAAATATATATTGAATTACTGCCTTGATGAAAGGATTTTCTATCTAAACTTTATTCACCTTCTTTATAACATGACATCTCATTTAAAAATTAAATAACAAAGGAAAAATCCCACAAAAACCCCCAAACACAAAAGAACTTAAATTCAGACTTTCCTAATGATCCAGTCAAGATGAAAGATTACTATAATTGCATCAATATCGTTATGCTAAAAAACAAACAGAAAACCAAAACAGTAAAAAATCTTGGTAATTTTGTACACTGGGTTTAATGGTTAATAGTTATTTTTTTCCTAGAAGCCCATAAGGTACTGTAGTTTGGGTTTGTGACTAAACAAGAGTTGATAGCACAACAATGTACTGGCTACTGCTGAGCCGTGCTTGTGCAGCATCAAGGCTTTCATTTCCCCCTCCTCTGTCCCCATACTTTGTAGACCAGGCATAGGCAGGATACTGGGAAGGGGAAAAAACCTAAACAACAGAACAGACCCAAATTGACCAAAAGGATATTTCATACCATATAACTTCATGGTCAGCAATAAAATATTAGAGGAGCTGCTAGTCATTGGAGACCATTTTGATTGATCTATTTGTGGAATATGGTGAATCATTGCTTTTGTATCATGTCTTTTTTTTTCTCAATTTTTATTAAACTGTCTTTTGAAGAGTCTTTCATGCTTTTTCTCTACCTGTGTTCTCCCCTTACTGTTCTTTGGGGCAGGGAAGCCGGGGAGTGGGCAGCCGTGTGATGCTTGAATGCTGGGTGGGGTAAATCCACTAGACTTCCCTACTCTTCTTATATATCTAATAACTAATTTTCAAATTTACTCAAGTGATGGGATATTTCTTTTTTTTTATATACCCTGAATATAGACAGTTACTTACTCTTGAAAAGTAGATGTCTGATTTATGATTTTACATAGTGGTTTGCATAACCTAAGCTCTTTTCTTCCATATCTTGAATGTGTAAGTCACAAGTGCAAAACTTTCCCTGGTGTCCAGAGCAATGTTCTGTCTAGCCCATTATCTGATCTGTGTAGACACAAATTCTTTCTAGCCTGGGTGCCATGTACTTCCATCTTTACAGTACCATGATGGACCAATAGCATGGTTTCTGGTGTAGTTTCTGGCTTAGCACTGATTTGTATCCCATCACTTGGTCGGGCATAGTGTACAATTTTGTCTGTTCATGCTTGTTAAAATGCTACTAAGCAATAAATAAAATCTCCCACAGAGGCCATGTCAGTGAATGTTAGTTTGAATATAAAAGTTTTCCTGATAATAGTAAAATATTTTATTAATATTTTTATTTATTTTTTTAAATTCAGGCTCTCTGGAATGAATATACCTCCTCCAGTTATAAGCAACAAAAACTGGCTCAGACTACATTTTGTAACAGACAGCAATCACCGATACCGTGGATTTAGTGCCCACTACCAAGGTACATTTAAAGAAATAAATTTTAATTGTGGCTGTATTTGTTAGAAAAAAGTAGTGCCTGAAGTTATAGCAAATGGGAAGTGCCACTTAAAAAAAAAAACTCTCATAAAAGTATAGTTTGTTTTTCAACCTGCTATATCAAATTACAATCACTTAGAATATGGGCAATATGTATCTAAATTCATTTACAAAAAAAATATGACAGGAGATACCTGCTTTACTTTAATCTATGCAAGTAATTAGCTTTTAAAATGGTCCTAATATTCTGAAAAATACTGTGGAACAGTAAGAGAGAGAACATCTTTATCATTAAATTATGGGATTGATGTATAAATCATATTTGTAAAGAAGTGAGTAAGTTTCTGTTTACTAAAGTAGCATTTAATCACTATTACTTTTTATTGTGTTTTGGAATGCTTTGCATTATTAAAGGTTTAATTAACCAGAAAGATTCTTACCCACTGTTTTTATGAGCAAGCATTTACTTTGAGTAAGAGTGAAACATCTGAAGGATAATTTTTGTAATGTCACTGATTGAAACAAGGTCATTCTAATGACATGCTAATGAAAATTTAATGTCAGTAGTATATGGTAATACTGTAAATAATATTTTTCAATATCCACATTGTATCAATGGATCTTCAGGGAACAGTAACCACTTTTTGTGTTTTTGTGTTTTTCCATTTATCTGATGAAAAAATGAATCATGGCATTCCTACCAAGATCTAGTTCAGGAATATCTTTTACAGTTTCTTATAGAAAATGTAGCATAGGAAGAGATTAGTGACAAAATTTTGCAGAATCTGATAAAATTAGACAAGTAACACAAAAATTTCAATTAACAAAAGCCTATGACTAATGTTTTTAATTTGATCTTTGATAACAGCAAATTTTACAACTCAGTGTGATTGCCTCAGATAGCATATCTATACAAGAACAGAAAAAAATTGATTACTATTTTCAGCAGGTATTGTATACCTTTATTTGGACTTCCTGAGTTCATAGATGCTCTGGAATGTGTATTCTGAATGAATTTATATGAAAGAACCTTTCTTAATGTAGCTTCAGGACTGCTATACTGGTTTATGAAAAACACTGACTCATTTTTTGCATGATATCTTTCATACCACATATGATAAACCACACTCTTTAATAAGAATTTGCTAGCTTATGGGACTGTAAAAAGATAGAAAGTAGGAATTCTCTCTAATAAATCTACCCCACAACTGAGAAATTATGTGATAACCATTTTGGTGGTTTAAGTGAGGTGTTTTGTATTGTTGCACTGCTTCTTTTGAACTAGTGAGAAAAGAACAAACCGTGTCTCATGGTAAACATACATGCATTCCTGCCAAAAATGTGAGGTAATAGCTAATGAAAGAGAACAGGCTTACGTTTACTTTTAAAAATATGTTTTATCCGAGACCCATTAAACGTCTGAGTTGGTAGTTGTGGGAGATTTGAATATGCTCTGTGTCTTTTATTTCTCCTCATTGCCTAAGAATGTAGTGATTAAATAATGGTGTTTTTACTATTTTGGTTTGCTTATTTAGTTTTTAAAGGTGTATTGCTGAATGTATGTTAAAGTGGACTAACTATTCAGTGGTCAAATGCTTCAGCAGCCCACAGTACTTAAAATGAAGAAAATATCTTTTGCAACTCTAAAATAAATGTAGGTGGTAAAAAAATTCAGCACATAAAGGAATTAAATCTGCATACTCAAGCCTACATGATCATTAAAAAAACCCTTGTTAGTAGAAAATAGAAAAACAGATGGTAAGATAATAGGGGATGTGTCATTTCTGGTAGGTTAATGGTAGACTAAAGGAGAGAGTGTGAGGAAATTAAATAAATATCATAGAATCATAAAATGGTTTAGGTTGGAAGGGACCTTAAAGATCATCTAGCTCCAACCCCTGTGCCATGAGCTGGGAAACTTCCACTAGACCAGGTTGCTTGAACTCTGCCACGAACACTTCTAGGGATGGGATATATTACAAAACTTTCCTATATTTAGAAAATAAACACTAAATGTATAGCACAAATATTTCAGTTTTTGAGAACTGTAAGCTTAAATTTTTCAATTAGTGATAACTTTAAGCCTTTTTTAATGACAATTTTCAAATTTTAATGTAATTTATTTTTTGACATGAATTTTCTGAAAACCAGATAACTAATAAATTTTTAAAATGTTTTGCAAAAAGCCATATAGTACAAGTGCTTGTTTTTATTTTCAAGAGTTTATTATTTCTGCATTACTTTTGAGAGGGAATCTGTTAATTCTTTCAATAGCTTGTTTTATCAGAGTGCTACACAGTAGTAACTGTTTTAAAACCTCCATCCTTCCCCTGCTTAATTGATATAGATTGATTGTAATGTCTTTCTGAATTTCCTTCCTGAAACATATTTGCTACATAGTACCACTATAACCATAATTATTAATTTCTTAGTACCTCTTCTAATTTTCTTTAGTGTACTGTTACATATTTTTAAGGACCTGGACTTCAAATTCTGAACTTCAGAACACTGCATAATTTTAGTCTGTCACTGCGTGGCACTGCAGTACCCTTTTCAGCTAATCACTCCCTTGGTTTACTGATTTTTTTTGCACTTAGTGCACATTTTGTCAGTGTATTTGGGTCATGGTTTAACCCTAAGTGGTAATGAAGCCCTCTCACCACCACTCACTCATTCCATCCTCAGAATACAACAGGGCAGAAAATAGGAAGAACAAGAGTGAAAAGTTTCATGGTTGAAATGAAGATGTGGAAAATCACTCCTCAACTACTGTCCTGGAGAAAATGGCCTTATTATAAAACCTTTAATGACTGTCTTGGGTGTTTGAAAACAAAGACAAATAGTAAAGAAATTATGAAAAACACCCTTATTCTCTTCTGAAAGCTTAACTTCATTCCAAAACTTTCCCCTTCCTCTATTCCACCATGGATTGCTCTTCCTCTCTTTGGTGAAGTGATCGCCAGTGCAGGAGGTTCAGGTCAAAGTGTAGGAGTTAATTTCTGCTCTTCCTCATTTCTCACTTCTGCCATTTCTTCCATCTCATTTATTTCCTCTGCCTTGATGTGCATTGACCATGGGCCATTGTCTCTTAATCCAAAAATTTTTCTGAACCTGCTCCTGTGTGGGTTACCCATGGACAGCAGTCCCTTTGAGAGTATTACTAGCTCTGGAATGGAGCAAGTGTGCTCTGACCTTGTTCCTTCCCTTCAGTGTTTGTTGCCTTATCTCAAATACAACTACATAGAGATGTCACAAATTCTACTGATGTGTGCTACTCAGTTGTGTTCTGTGGTGGGGCCATTTTGGAGCCAGATGTGGCCAGTTGTGACCAGCATGGGACAGCTCAGTGTCTGCTGAAGGGAGAGCTGATATATTCAGCCCTATACCCCTCTGCTACCAAATCCCTGACAGTCTTATTGCCTTTTGTTCTCTTAAGTTTATGAAAATTGTGTTTTAAGATTCTTTTTCGTAAGGCAGCCTCACATGGCTGAGTTGCAGTGTAATGCCTAAAGCAATTGTAGCCTAGACATTTGAAAAGAAGACTAAATTTGATGCAATGCAAAGTCAAAATATAGTTACCTATGGAAAAAAAAACCAAAACAACACAGCAACAATAAAATAGAAAACCTAGAGTATTACATAATTTTTTATAAGCAGACTTTTAATGTAATCAAACAATTTTTTTCTAATTTTCTGTCTTAGTTTAAGACCTTGAAAATAGGCATGGGCCTTTAAGGCCTCTAAAGTTTTTTTTAAATTGACTTATGCAGAAAAAAATGAAATCTGATGAGATACATGAAACTGTGGGAAGTATTATATTCATTTATATAACATTTAAAAGACATTGGTAAACAATATCCAATGTGATTAGAAGAGAAATTTCAGTAAAAAATTTCATTTAGAGAAGAATCAAAATGTTTCCCTACTTAGGTTTTGGTGTCGTAACCCACTTATCCTTGCTTGTCTGGTCATCTGTGTTTTGGCACTTCTTTCTATTCAATGAGTGTTCCTTGCTTTGATGCTTTCTCTTCTTATTGCTTTGTTAAAACTCCCTTTGAGTCAGAAACTGTTGGCTGAAGTAGAACAAAAGCTCCTTTGGATCTTCTTGAAGCAGCTGCTTCACTGTTTCTTGGCACCAGTAATCCTCTTCTGCTGTTTCTAATATTAGTTGTGCTTCTTTACGCCTTCTATTTGCAGTTCCTTTTGGTTGCTGCTTTCTTTTGGTTACTTTTTGCACTCTTTCATTTATGTACGAATCCATAATATTATCTAAGTGGACAGAAGCGATTAAGTTAGCTTCACAGTGTCTGGTCTTACTGATTGGCATACACGAACTTCAATCTTCTTTATATCAAGTGTACCCAGATTCAGGAAAGGCTTTAAAAAAAAAAAAATAATCTTCATTTTAGTTAGATGACTTTAAGCATTCTGAAGATTTGCTATCTTTTTAACTGATTTTTTTTCCCCCCCTTGTTTGTTTACCTGTGTTTAAGCCATGTGCAAACTCATGCTTCCACTTTGAGCAAAACAGTATCAAATATGTAAATTTAGTGCACAAACACATTTGCCATACATTAAAAATCTTTTCTTATAAGAAAATGCAAATGAAGCTATGAAAGAAATCCATGAGCATTTCAGAATAGAATAAAATTTAGTTGTCCTGCTCATATTTAAAAGCATGGAAATGGTTACTTTCCTTCATACTTGACAGCCAACTATGTAGACCTGAGCTTGGATAAATGCGAGCACCTTGTAGTAGGATCAAATATGAAGAAGATGATGTTGAAAAATTTCTTCTTGCTCTGCTTGATTTTCTATTGTTATTTCTATTATTATGTTTCTTTTTCTTTCTGTGAATAGAAATGTATCTTCATAAATTATTTATGGAGTTAGCTTTTCTTAATTTTTTTTCTTGGTTTTGCTTTCAGAAAGAATGTAAAGCAATTGCCAATCAGGTAAAGAACAGTAGTACTAAGCTGCCTT